GAATGCAGGCCACTGGCAAATCTAACAAATAATAATCAGATCTATGCGTTTAGTTGGTGATTTAGCAGAGTTCCAGGTTTGAAACAGAAAAAAAAAATGTATCTTCAAACTCTGGTCTTTTTGTTTGTTTTGGGCTTTTGAGACAGGGTGTCTCTGTGTGTAGATGCGGCTGTCTTGGAACTTTCTCTATAGACCAGACTGGCCTCGAACTCACAGACATCACCTGCCTCTGCCTCCAAGTGCTGGGATTAAAGGCGAGTGTCATCACAGTCCAGCAGAACCAGTCTTTATTCTTTCCCACCTGAGCAGTTATAGCTGAGGTCCATTGTTAAAGTGGGCTTTTTGTTTTGTTTTTTCCTTTTCACTACAGTAAATAATCTAATAATCATGTATTAATTACATTCTGCTATTGTTTATTTATTTACTTATTTGTTAGTTAGTTAGTGAGTCTGGATCTTGCTGTGTTTGCCCAGTCTGGTCATGAACTTGTGAATTCAAGCTGCCTTCTGACTCAGCCTCCCACATAGCTGCAGGTATGAGCCATTTCACCGTTAGAAATCACCATTTTAACACAAGTATGTAGGCACAAGGTTGTGTGACCATCCCCACTGTCTGGTTTTAAAACATTCTCTCGAAAGAAACCCATTCCCTCCACCCCTGGCCCTTTTAACCCTTAGATTTGGTATTTCTGTCTGATGAAAACATTTTTTGCACATGTTATGGGGGACATATATATGTTCATGTGTGTACACATGTGAGTGTGGGGTACGCACACATATATGTATATGCACGTGGAGCCAGAGATCAGTCTCATGTCATGCCTCAGGAGCCCTTCACTTGATTTTTTGAGACAGGCTCTCTCACTGAGACCTGAGGCTTACTGATTAGGCTAGTCTTGTCTCCACCTCCCTGGCACCGAAGTTACCAGTATGAGTACCACATCCCAAGGTTTTATGTGGGAGCTTTGGATCAAATTCAGGTCTTATGCTTAAGAGGCAAATACTTGACCAACTGAGCCATCTCCCCAACTTGTAACTTTTCCCCCTTTATTTTCTTTATAAATGTGAGGCAGTGTGGATGCTCTTAATGTACACATTTCTTCATGGCATTACTGTAACGTGCCTGACATGTCCTGACATGCCTGCACCATCATCATCATCATCATCATCATCATCATCATCATCATCATCATTGTGAGTGTGGGAACATGCAGGCTACAGTGTGTTTGTGGAGGTCAGTGAACAACTTTTGGGAGTCAGTTCTCTCCCACCATCCACCTTTACATGTGTTCCAAGGATCAAACTCAGATTATCAGGTTTGCATAGCAAAAGTCTACCCAATGAACCATCTTAACTGGCCCAAGGTTCTCATTTTTTTTTTTTTGATTTTTCAAACAGGGTTTCTCTATGTGGCCCTGGTGGTCCTACAACTTGCTGTGTAGACCAGGCTGGCCTTGAACTCGCAGAGATTCACCTGGCTTTGCCTCCCAAGTGCTGGGATTAAAAGTGTGCACCACCACTGCCCGGCTCCAAGGTTCTAGTATTAAAATACGGTTCGTGCAGGCCTTGTAGCACAGCACAATGCTTGTAATCCTAGCACTCTGGGCAACTCAAGCTGGAAGATGGAAATTCCCACTGAACAAATCCATCAGTTAATTCAACCTGTTAGTCATGCTTTACCTCACTTAAATTTGCTTTTAATACAGCTTGGCCCTTATTTATCCCTAGTCTCTGTGATCTGATGTTTATAAGACTGTGGCAACCATTTCTTGCTTCATATTCTAGAGCTTTTTTTTTTTTTACATATTTTGTGTGGTCGGTGGTGGGTGTCTCATAGCATGCATGCAGACGCGAGTCAGAAGATAAATTGCAGTTCTTTCACCATGTGGGGGCTGGGAATCAAAGTCAGGCCATCTGGCTTGGTGACAAATACCTTTACCCACCTGAGCTATGTCTTGCCAACATTCTCTATGTATATTTGAATCAGCACAATCTAGACATATCTCATTCCTGTCAGCACCAGGTCCTATCAATCCACCTGTTGGAACCACTGTGTTTTGTTCACAGCTCCAAGGTGACAAGACTTTGTAGGACCACTCTCCATGTGTCAGCTTCTTCACATTGTCCTTCCTGTTATTATGTCTTGTCCCCTAAGGGACACGGATTCTTCAGTGCAGCGCACTTCCTATGCCCGTTACCATGACCACAACATGTAGAATGACGCTTTGAACAGGCCAGTGCCCAGACTCCCCAGAAGCACAGCATGGGTACTGCAAGGAATCCTACAGAGGACTCCAAGGACTGGAACCCCAGCTGAGGAGGCTGCCAGTTTGCTATGTGTGACCACATGGTGCCTCCCCTCTGGGCCTTCCTTATCAGGCAAAGGGACCCTCGCTGCAATCCCTGGGCATTTTCATTCCTAAATGCCACACTCTGGCTAGAGCTAGGGTGTTGAGACATAGGAGTAGCTAGTGCCAAAGGTCCCCAATTAGTCAAAGCAGTAGCCAGGTCTCCGTTCCCAGCAGTCCTGTTTCCCCATAGGTCCTAGCCACTCTTCCCAACTTCCCCAGCGGCACTGAGGCCATTGAAGTCTGCTATCCATTACAAAGTGCCAGATTCTAGGGAGGCAAAACTGGGCAGTCCTCACTGCATCTCTGGGAGGTGCGTGTGGGTATTTCTACCTAAAACAACATGGCAATACGTAGACCCTGATATTTATTTCAATCACCCGCCTAGAAAGTGGTGGCACTAGTGTCCAAATCCGAGTCTGTCTGACTTGGATCAAGCCTCCACATGCTTCGTGAGTGGCATAGTGTGATCTGTAGGGTAGGTCAAAGACACCAAAGCAGTATCTCTGATGCTGCAGACAGAATCCTTGCTAACACCGACTGCATATTTACGTGATACCTGTCACCCCAATGAGCTCTCCTATGATCCTATCATATGCATATGACTTTGAAACGAGCCATTCTATCTCATTTTAAGTGTGAAATAAGCTTAGTGAATCGTTACTTGCCCAGGATTTGAACCCAGGCAACCTGGCTTCAGTCATCACCCTGTTTGCAACAGGTTGCTACGTTCTTACCCTGATGATGCCTCTGCTGACAGTGTAGTAATTAGGTATGTAACCCCATTTTTCTTGAGCCCTGTCATGCAATAAATAGGTGTCTTCTAAGGTAGTGGGTATCCTGATGGATTTCCTTATTGATATGTCCATTTCTGTGACAGTGCAGTCGTAACTGACATACTAGTAGTATGCCCAGAATGGCCTCTCTCCGATGAGCTGTGTAACTTTTGGGCAAGCTTAATCTCTCTGAACTTGTGCTTTTCTCACCTGGAAAATGGGCCCAGCACTGGTTGAGATTAGACCCAGTGTGAAGGACGTGTTTGGTTCTAAAGATCAGTGCTGAGGGCAAACAGCTGCACAGACATGCCTGGCAGGCCTGTTTCTTGGGTAAGGAAGGCAGGGCGTTTTTTTTGGGGGGGGGCAGGGGGATGGAAGTGACTATTGCAGGCTGGAGCAAGTGGCAGAGGTGGTTCTGGGCATTTGAGGCCATGTGGCTTTTCTTCAGCACAAGTCAGGACACCAGCTAACGTTTTCCAGCGCAGTAGCAGCACAGGACGGGTGGCAGAGCTGAGGCTATGAAAGAATGGCTGAAGTGATAGCAGGAGTCGGTGAAGACTGGAGGGACATGAAACTGAGAAGAGGCCGAGCGGCCACCGGCCTGGAGGCCACACACCTCATGCTGGGGAGGGGGGTCTGGAACTCTGGGAAGGGACGGAGTGCTGGGCAGAACGGCGGGCGGCGAGGCTGAGAGCAAGAAAAGCAGAGCTCACAGAGGTGGAGGACGCTGGCTTGGTGCAGAGGCCGGGCCTCGGGAACCCAGAGAGGCTCTTTCAGTGGTTATGGGGGGCTTCCACAGGGAACCTCTCCAAAAAGAGACACACCCAGGGGGGCGGTCCACACTCTTCATGATCATTAAGAGGTCTGGGTTCAGTCTGCAGCCCAATGGACAAAAAAGGCTTGAGGTGGATTCTGACAGGTCTCAAGCCTTCTCAGACGGCAGATGCTTCATTGAAGAAGAGAAACCATTCTGATCCCAGGATTTCTCAAGAGTCTGACACCCACAAAAGAGGACACATTTTTAGTTTGCTAGAGTGGGGCTTGGGAAAGCCTAACACTGCCACCCCTCCAAGCGACCTTTAGCTGAAATGTAGCTTATCAAAGTTACCCCAAGGCCTTTAGAGCACCCTATGGGAGGAAGGACTGCGCACAGAAAGGGAGCACACCAGTCACCCATTGCCACTGCCACTGGGCCCCCTTAAAATCACCCCCAGGTAGGGGAAGGGTGGATGGGTAAGAGTATGAGCTTCAGGCATTCCAACTACACAGATGCACACTGTACCCAGCCAGCCTCCCAACAGGAGACTTATGGCCAAGCACAGGGAGGATGCCAGCAGAAGGGCAGGTGATGACGATACAACGATACAACAGCCGCGGATCCCAGGCTCTACAGGAACAAAGGGGAAGGAAGGGAGGAAGGGAGGGAGGAAGGGAGAAACCCCGATTCCTTCTCCAGTGGCCTCATCTAGGATGCTCCCCGCCTGTGCTATCCTGTCCAAGTAAGAACCACCAGTTCTTGCCTTTTGTGGAATGTGGAAATCTGGGCAACACTTTGAGACTTTTCTTTTTTTAAACTGGACCAGAGTAGTACAACAGGTTTGTGTATAGCATTGAACTGAGTATGTGTATATATATATATATATTTGGTTTTTTGAGACAGGGTTTCTCTGTGTAGCTTTGCGCCTTTCCTGGAACTCGCTCTGTAGCCCAGGCTGGCCTCGAACTCACAGAGATCCGCCTGCCTCTGCCTCTGCCTCCTGAGTGCTGGGATTAAAGGCGTGCGCCAGCACCGCCTGGCCTGAACTGAGTATATCTTGATGTCAGGAACAAGGTCCCCGAGTTTCCGGGGTGGCAGAATGAAAAGGACAGGAGACGTGTTCTTTCTAGCTGCTTTATTTTTGTAAGGATACACTGAAACTTTCGATGGAAACAGCTAATGACAAAATGTGGACATGAGGTGTCGGCATCTACAACCACTGCTACAGTAATATATGAATCTGTATTTTCATTACATGTTTACTTTGATATTGTCTCTTTATATATGTAATATCATAATGGAGAATACAGTTAAGTAGGTATCCTGCATTTCAGAGAGGCAGGAGGTGGGAAACCACCCCCAACAGCCCCCGAGACCCACTAAACTCTTGAGGGAAAGTTCTAAGAATCACAAGATAAAGGACTTTGCAGTCTCGAACACAGACAAAGGGCAGACAACTCTGTTACAAGGGATTCAACTTGTCCCGATTTTGAAATGTTCTATCTTGTTGACGACAGCCCTGTGCCTGCTCAGCTGGCCCTCTAGAGTTTTTGTCTCTTCTATAGGATGAATCTCAAAACTGCAGGAACGTCTGAGGAGGCTCAAATATTGTCATGCAAGTTTCCAAACCCATAAACTATTTTTACTATTAAAACAAAACAATTTTTTTAAAAAATTAAAAAGAAGAGGAGGGTTAGTTTTGTTACACTTCCGGAAGTAGTCACTGTGACGGTGTCGTTCTGAGACAGGCTTGTTTCTCAGATCTTCTTAGACTTTCCAAATCACCTGTGTGTTCCATGCTTTAAAGGAGGAACACTCAGAGAACACGCCACGTGGGGGAGTCAAACGTTAGTTAGTATGGGGGAAAGTCAGTTAAGAATTACAGCTAAGTTCAAAATGTTAATTTTCTGGAAATTCGTGTTAGTCATGTGAAAGCACAAAAGAACAGAAGGGAGGTCAGAGTTTTGATGAAGTTCAGCCATGCATTCTGGCAAGTTCTTTACTGCTCCCAGAATAAGGAGGGCAGCGAGTTGGAGCAGCCGCTCAACTCTTGCTCATCAGTCATGTGACCGCACAGTGGGTCCCAGATGAGCCCTGAAAGGCCTCTCCGTGGGAGCCTTATCACCTATGCTTCTTGCTTACATCATCAAGTGGCTACATGGTTAGCACTTTTCTGCTCTATGAGAAACATGCAGAAGAGTCAATCTAAGTTTTTTTTTTTTTGTTTTTTGTTTTTTGTTTCTGTTTTTCCACTGCAGCAACAGAGAAATTATTTTTGCTGCCAGGTTGCTCTTTGCTAATTCCTAATATGATCACTGTGTGCCCTTGGTTGATTAATACTGTAAAATGGGAGACAAGACAGAAGGAGCAACTTTAAAGAGGTGAAACCCCACTCCTCCCCTACGGATGGTACAGAGGGAGGGAGGGAGGGAGCAAAGGACACAAAGCATGGTTCAAATACCATTTTACAGGACAGGAGCCCCTGTCAAGTTACAGCTTTTTGGCACAGTCAGGGCAATACACCTGCTCATTATGAAACACAAAGCGCTTGTTGGCCAGATTCACGGAGCATTTTTTGCAGTGGAAGCAGTAGTCGTGCCAGGATTGTCCTTCATAGGCCACCACACTGGAGCCTTTACCAAACCCTGTGGGAAAACACAAGAAAACAGAGAGAGCGCTGCATGAAGACTGATGAGGAAGCCAGGAGTCAGAGACAAAATGACAACTTGCCCGGTCATAGAGCCGACAGGCACACAGTCAGTGTCTGCCCGGCTCTCTGCTCCCCTCTACTCCACCGACCGACCGACCGACCGACCGACCGACCGCGCACTGTCTCCCACCGCGCACTGTCCCCCGCGCCGCCACTGTCCCCCGCGCCGCCGCAACCCTTCTATGGCTGCCAAGGACCTGAAAAGATGCCAGAGCTCAGCCAACGGCTTCCCTGATTTCAAGAACCCCGGGTCCCATGCCACCACCACTAGAGCTCTGTGACGCGCACCGACCTCCCAGCATAACCAGTGTCTTTTAAAGTCAGGGCCATGGCATCAAAGTGGCCACCAGGAGGCAAACTTGGGCTGTTGGTGGGGTGTGCACTTACCGGGCCTCGAGGAGCTGCTAAGCTTCGATTTTTTCTATAAAGAACCACCACCCACGAGGGACAAGTCCTCTCTCCACCCGGATGCCTGCCCCGGAGGTTGGCGCTGGGAAACAGGGTGAGAGGCAAGCGTTTCCCGTGGCACACTGGGGGCTTCCTAGCTTTAGAGACTGGGTGGCTCACTCTTGACACAGTCCTTTTCCCTGAGGATGGCAAAAGTCTTCTCAAATGTACATTTCAAGGCTCCCCGGGGAGATGGGAAAATTGGAGGCAAGGGAAAGGGCTCAGGGCACGTGGATCGCGGCCGCAAGATGAGGAATGAAGTGATTAGCTTTGCTTCTGATCACAAAAAGATTCAAAATAAATAAAAATGACCCTGCTAGCAGGCCCCTCTGCACTAGCCTTCCACTATGGGGTGGTATAATGCCAGGTTTTAGCTTTCCAGCCTCCCTAGCCCTCCCCATTCCCTCCTTCCCCTCCCTCCCCCCCCCACCACCAGCCCCCCCCACCCTTGTCCCCCCCCCCCCCCATTTCACCCCTGTGCAGTGCCTTGCTCTCAGGCTTGTAAACTGGCATGGTTAGTTGGTCAACAGTAGTCAGGAAGTGTTCTGCATTGCAAGGTTAACCTGGCCTGGGAGATAATCCAAACTACTTGGGGAGGGGGCCTTGGGGCCACAATGGTAGGGGCAGAAGGGCATTGTCTGGGGGCCTTTGTGGATGAAACCGACGCCAGGAAATGAGAGATGGTTACCATGCACAAAACCTAGCCTGGCAGACTTAGCAAGGACTCTTTTAGCCTACCAGTGATGGGGTTCTTGCATCCAGCACACTTCTTGGCCACAAAGCTCTTGTAGCAATCCACGCAGTAATACTGGTCCTCCACAGCGGTGAAACGCTGCCCAGCCAGCTTCTTAGAGCAGGTAACACACACAAAGCACTCGGCATGCCAGGGCTGATCCTGGTAAGTGATTCCTCCAGATGTGATGGCCTAGACCAGGGAGTGTAGCACCGGGATTCAGATTCAACAACCAGGCACTGTGCTGGGTGCTTTGGTCTACAGTATCTCATTTCACCACCATTACAGCCATGGGAGGCAGGTGCTATTATTATCCCCAATTTACAGATGAAGACACCAAGGCCTAGAGATGGTGCGCCTCTTCAGAAGCCAATGAAGCAGAAGAGGCAGGCCTCCAGAGTCAGGGCTGCCCGGCTCAGAATGGAGGGGCACATACACTGACAGCCAGAAACAGCTGTGGCCATGCTTTCTAACCCCAGGCTCCTCGTCTGTAAAATGGGCACAATAATTCCTACGTCACAGGGCTATCGTGAGGATGGAATGAGATAGTGTGCGTGTGCAAGAGCTCTGCAAACTGTCAAACACTAGGCAACAACACTCAACGCAGAATTACCACAACATACCTTGTTGCATTTCACGCAATGCTTGGCGAACTTGGTCTCATGGCAAGTCACACAGTAGAAGTCCTCCCCTTTAGGGAAGAAGCTTCCGGTCCCAATGACTTGCTTGCAGTTGCTGCAGGTGAAGCAGTCTTTATGCCAGATGGTGCCCTTGTACTCCACGTTCTGGTCTCCTGCAAAGGGAAGCAATCCGATAGCCCCACTGACAGGCTCTGCAGGGGGCTGCATCCACTCAGCTCCCCAGCCCACCCCCAGAGGCGAGGGGATGCAGGCCCTGCAGTCAGTGGCCTCCCTCAACCTATCCCTGTGTGTTACTTGCAATCATGCCAACCCAGGCTTCTGTTACAGGTGGGGGTCCTGGCAGTGCTATTTAGGAGGAGGTTCCTGAGCGCCCACTCCCCCACCACCACCCCTGCAATGACTTGAGAGTTCCACTAGGGGGACTACCTAACCCAAAAATGCCTGAGGAAGAAGCATGCATCGATCACTTACTACACCCAAAGGAGAAAGCGCTACATACTTTTCACTTCATTCTCTTGGCACAGACTGCTCTCGCCAGTGTTCTTTAGTCTCCGAGTGTGTGCGTGTGTGCGAGCATATATATGTACGCATATATACGTGTATGTATATGTGTACATACATATGCTAAAATCTCAAAGCAGCTCACAGCAATGTTAGCCCCACCATGACAAGCAAGCACACATCATGTCTGCCCTCAGGGTGGGAAGGGGCCAGTACCTGCCACAATGGCCTTGAAGCACCCTTTGCACCTGGGGGAGTCCTCCCGAGTGGCACACTTGTTGCACAGGATCTTGCCATCCTTGGACACAAAGGTCTCGCTGGCCAAGGGGTGAAGGCACTTGGCACAACGGAAGCAGGTGTCGTGCCAGTAGCGATTCTTATAGTGCACCTCCTGGACATCAAGCAGAGCAGGGTGGCCACTGTGAGGGGCACTGGGGCCAGTGGCAGGAGCCTTACCATCCGATACCAGGTTCTCCGGGGCCAGGTAACTACTCACTCAGATGTCAGCCCCTTCCATGTGGGGATGCCCTGGGGTGAGTGCGTTTAGGAGTAACAGGAAGAATACTGTAGTGGAGACGAAAGCCTCAGAGTTCCCAAAGGACATAAGAGTAGAGGTAGGAGAGCCCTCATCACACATCTGAAATCCACCACGCTCCAAAATCTGAAGCTTTCTGAGGGTTAATAGATCCCACAGAAGAAAAGCACATCTGCTCTCATGTGCTGGGTCATAGGCACAACACATAGTTTATCCTGTGTCCCTGGGGAAAACAAGACCCTTCCAGTACCTTTAGCGACAGCACATAAATGTCACTCCACACACAATTACTTTAAAAAAGTAGCAACAATAAAAGAAAAGGAGGCCAGAGGTCATGAGTTTCAGAGAGAGAGTGCGGGGGCTGGAGAATGCCCAAAGGGGTTGGAGGGAGGAAAGGGAAAGGAGAAAATGGTACAATTATAGTTAATTAAAAAATAAAAACACTGCACAAAATCACCTTCAGGCTATATACACAGAGGATAAACAGAATGTGAATCAATTTTGTCTTTAGACTTGGGTATCGTTCTCAAGATCTTTCATTAACTATGTGGAAGAATTATAAAATAAGAAAATCCAAACTCAACCACTTTTGTTGCCAAGCACTTCAGATAAAAGCCTGTATAACGCAAGAGCTGGTAAAGGCCTCAGTGGGCCGTCTAGTCCAAGGCCCGTATTACTCCTTTTTTAAGCTAGGGGTATCAGAAGTACCCTGGGAAGCAGAGAGCCTGTCTCAAGTACTTAAGGCTGCTGTGATGAAACCTCAAAATGGCGGCGTTGCGGACAAGGCTGCAAGAAAACACATGAAGGCCAGCCTGCCCCGCTCCCCTTCAGGAGCCAAAGTTACCTTGGCATCAGCACTTATGGGCTTGCGGCATTCCACGCAGGTGTTGGCGCAGAACTTGTCAAAGCACTTCAGGCAGCAATGGTGGCCATCCTTCTGCACGTACTTCTTCCCCTGCAAGGGGTCCCTGCAGTAGTGACAGTCGAACTTCTCAGACATGGTGCCCACCTTATAGCTGGAGGGACCTGTGGAGGCAAGCAAGCAAGCAGAAGAAATGAGCAAGGGGGAACTACAAGGGCGCTCTGCCACAGAAGGCCCTGGAGGGCCCCGACTCCTCGGGCCCCAGCTTCCCCTTAAGCCTGGCTAGTTACCGAGTGCCACGGCAACCGATACTTCACTATGGCTCCCAGGAAGAAAATACCTCTGATTTGAACTCTGAGTGCCCCACATCAAGGGCCAGCGACTCCCTGGGGTCATGTCAGCAATCACTATGCTGACTCACAGAGGACACAAAGGAGGACAAGTAGACCAGTGCTTGTGCTAATCTCACCACACGGGGATTCTGGGAGATTCATCCATTGCTGAACAGTGACCAGGAATGGAGAGGGGAACGGAAAGGTGAGGTGGGACGGGAAAAGGGGGAGACTACTGGGAAGGCAGGTGTATCTGTGCCCACAGCACTGGTCCGCGTGCCGCCCTATGGGCTGGCACAGACAATTCAAAAGGAGCCGGCGCCGGCACAGCAGGCTTGGGACCACTGTGCCTGGGCCAGAAGCCTCCCTGCTAGCTTCTACCTCATACCACGTCACCTGTGCATGGAAGGGGGCGCGGGTATTGCCTGGTGGTCCCACTCCCTCCCATCTGTACAGTTCTATTAATGAGAACAGACATTTAACAGCCGAGTCCTTACCACCAGGCACATCTGCGGCCCTCACAAACTTGTTTCAAATGTTAAAGTGGACTTGAAACACAGCAGAAGCTGTTTCAGTCCTCAAAGAGATCCCAAAAAGTGTTGTCCCGGATACTTTGATAGTTGAGGCCTGAGCAACAGGGCTACAGAGTGGCATTCTTGCCTGGCACAGGCACATTGGCAATTATGAATTATTTGCCACAGTGAGGTGCAGTTTTATGAAGAATCAAAATCAAATCTCTCTCAGGTCAAAGCAATGATTACTGAAGTGTTACCTTTCGGCACATTCGCAAAAGTTTCAAGTACAATCTGGAAAACTGACTTTTGCGAAGGGTTAAACTAATCATTTCAAGACCCTCCTCTCTCCATCCCCTGCACATGAACCACCTCCCTCTGCTCCCCACCCTCACCCCAGCTGTGGCTCTAGATAACCATACAGAGCAGGCCTGCCAAGACCCAGAGCGCTGCTAGGTTTTCCGTAGTCCCTTTGCCAAGCCATTTTCCAGAGACTCCTGCCACCAGGAAGGCACCAAATTCGGGTTTCTATTAGTTCCCAATTTCTTTACCCATGTGCTAATTGTTCCTCTCCCACTTAAAACGAGGGATTTACATGACTAAATAGACAGCAATTACTTAATTTCTGCTAGAAGTCCAAGAGCCTTGACTATTTGAAGCCAGCTCTTCACCCAGAGTGTAATTTAGGAAAGAGTGGGGGAATAAACGAGCAGTTCCCTGCTACTCACCGCGGCTCTTCCACCAAGTGAATGGCCCAAACTCCGGCTCCGGCTCCCATTCCCAAGGTTTTTTTTAAATACAACCACATGTCCAAGTTGTTTGGATCTTGTTGCCATAGGCAACCAAATAGCAGAGACTGAGCTAAGGAAACCACACCCTTTGTCTGGGAACCCGCCTGGGCGGCTTGGCCAGAGGCTAATGAACTCTCACTCAGACCCCTGTCAGTCAGTCCCTGCCGCCTGTCACTCACCAAGGGAAAGGAAGCCATGGAACACACACAATGCCCACTGCTTTGCACTCCCACCTCCAGGCCCCTCACCTCAAAGAGCCGACGCAGGGAGCAAATGAGCGATATTTCTGTACAACAGTTGCCTAGCACAGTTCGATCACCGTCGGGTCAACAGGGAAGAATACCAGGGAGGTTCCCTTGTGTGCCTAGGTTAGATACACAGTGCACACACACAAGGAAGCCAGGCCTATCTCCCCAGTTACTAAGTTACTGTGAGGCATCTGTTCAACTTCCTGTCGCCTACAGGCATGAGTACCTGGAGCCTATGGAAAATCACTCTCCGTTTGTTCTAGCTGGCCTCTGCCATCTCTTGTTTTCTTGCTAAGGGCTGATCTGAGAAACCAAGGGATTCTTTAGTAAGGGTATATGCCATGTCAGCCTGGTGGTACAGACTTGCGACCCTTGCTACTCAGGAGACTGATAGAGGAGGATCACAGGTCCAACGCCTATTTGCACGGCAGAATGAGTTCAAAGCTAGCCTACGCAATGTAATGAAACTGTCATCTCATGATTTTTTTTTAACTTTTAAAAGGCTGAGAATATAGCTTAGGGGCAGGATCCTTGTCTAACACACACGAGGCCCTGGTTTTAACCCTTGGTACCACAAAATAAGTAAAACGAAAGAATAACTACAAGGAACTCAAATGATCAGTGGTTCCTAAGAACCACTGGCAAGGAAACCGTTTGCACAGCACACTAACCCTCCTGGAATTAGCCCTTCAGACCCTATCATCTTGGGCCATATTTGAAAAAGCAGTCGCTCTCCCTTACTGAGGTCTTTCTTTTTACCATCACTCTTTCACCGTCGAGGAAAACAGTGGATTCTAAATATTTCTATATCCAAGAACCGCACTCATTTGCACCTAAAAGGAGCCCTGCGCCTCTTGGTAGTGCTGAGCTCTAACTTTCTGGTGGAAATATAGGTGCTGGTGTCATACAAAAAGAAAAAAAATGCTAGAAAACACAGCAAACTCCCTTCCTAGGTATCTAGGAGCTTTGTTTTGGCTTTTCTTTGAGACAAAGTCTAATTCTGTAGTCCAGGGCTGGTCTTGAACTTGTGGTCAACCTTCTACTTTGACCTCTTAACTGTTAAAAATTTTTATAGGCATGAGCCACTATGGCTAGCTGGTATCTAGAGGTTTTCAAGAAAAGGCTAGTTACACTATGGTTTATAAAACCAGAGAGGTATGTGCCAGGCCTTCCTCACTTTAAAAGCATGTATTTTCAGAGCCAATCCCATGTTCTTCACTGCTAAGTCCCACACCTACAGAACATGACCTGCTCAGTTTCCAGGTATGCAAATGACAAAAGAATTCACAGCTCACCAATGAACAGAGAAGTATCCAGGAGTGGGGGGTCCAACCTTTTGACACTGTGACATGATGCTGTGATCTACAAATGTGTTGGGCCATGTTTGTAGCTATCCTGGGATGCATGTAGTCTGTGGGTTGCAGGCTGGGCATGCCTTACTGAATTGTACTGAAAATGCCCATCAATGAAAGCACACCCCTCCACATCGTTCCTTTAACACAGTGTCCCAAAGCATACCCAGGGAGTCATTAAAGGAGCCAACTCTAAGTTAATGGCACCAATAAGAAAGGCCTTGGGTCTCAGTAATTCTAAGTTTTCGCTTTTGGCGGTACAATTTTTTTGTATTTTAAAACCAGGAGAAATCAGAATCACCTCAGATTCCCCACCACAGTATACTTAAGCCCAGACTCTGTGTACAGCTGGAGAAAACAGGCTTCCAAGTGACTATTTTAGGACTGATTTTAACAGTTGACTTAAGTCATTTCTATGTGTGGAAACACCTATTAATCAAGATAAACTAGAACGTCTAGGAATGTTGGCTTTATTGCCTAATGCACAAACAAGCTGGAATACTTAAAGTATATTAGCAATGTCAAATTCACAAACTTTTTTTTTTTTTTTTTTTTTTTTTTTTTTTTTTTGCAAGAAATCTAAGTGAAGCTTCGGGCAGCCTGGATTATCCAACTTCGTTTGCCTGTCTAATTACTTCGTACAAACGTACAAAACTATTCCAAACCTTGCAGCATGAGCTTTACTACAAAGCTGGAGTCATATATTCCTACTGGTGACATAGTCATTACCCCCAAACTTCACAGAAAATAGGGGGAGTATGTTCAAGACTAGAACAGTCATAGGAATTAACAAAGCCGAGAACCCATCTGACCAATGGCAATGCCCGCACAGAGGTCTTTAAAGGAGAATAAATATCCTAAGTGCTCGGCACCATGGAAGATGGAGCCACACTTGAGAATTCATGGGAGGAGAAAAGCTTGCCATGCCCCTCCTGGCCTTCATTAGAAATTAGCAGATGAGAAAGAAAATGAACCTCTCTGGTGGAACTCTCTCTACTCCTGCTGATCTCATACTCCAGTAGCACTTATCTCTTAAGACATAATTTTATCCCTTTGGCAATTTCTAAGTACACGAAATGTCCAACCTTTTATACCCTACAAACTTCCAGGCACATTTGCCTTGCCCTGCAGTGGTTGAACTTGGAAAGGTCATACATCATTAAATGACAATTTTGCTACATGTGATCACGGTGCTGCCTCCTTTACTGCTTCTTTTGTGGAGGACATCGTGTCCTAGGGTAGCTCCTCGGATGAACTTGAATCTCAATGTGGCCTGCCTTTGTACATGGGAGTGAGGATTCTGTCACAGAAAATTCTGCCACTATAATAGGAGCCCAGGGACCTAGTCCAGGACCTAACCTATCAAAATCCTTCAGTGTGCCCTGCTGGCGGGCAGGGGGAGAAAGGTCGCCACTGTTAACCTTCTAAAACTTCAGTGTGTGGACAGGCATTCACAATGGATTCCGATCCAATGATCTCAGCCTCTATTTCTAGGCAATATTGATTTTCCTTCTGAGAAAATGTTTTCTCTTTCGTAAACCAAATTCCTTCTCCTTTCAGAGATGAAGGAACCTAATACAATGCAAAATGCTACGTCCTGATTTTAAATCTCACCTCTCATTTCCTAAGGTCCCCAGAACTAAATTATACCCCCCAGTCATGTGAACTGCCATCGGATTTTTCTACGTTGTCTTTGGTATAAATGTATTTAAGGAAATCAACTCTGGATGCTTAGCTTAATACAGTGAGAGATGTGGCTGAGTGATCAAATGTTGCCTCTCTATTCTAAGGTGGCAGCCTGACTTTCTTTCTATGCCTGCTTCAGAACATACATCATTCTTCACCTAATAAGCAAGCTTCCTCTTTCAGAAAAAAAAATCCTGATTTATATGCAGCATGCCAAGAGGTGCGTACAGAAACCTCAGCGTC